CGGTAATGGTATCTGCCGACCGCAACCATTACCATTGTCTGCACAAGGTCTCCGCAAGACTCGCGCGCGCTCGCGTTAGAAAATGCCAAACAAAGCCCGTGTAGGGTTGCAGGGTGTAGGGTATGTTTTTACTCCTTTATATTCATTTTGACTCTGTCCCCTTATGAGATAGAGAATAACCCTACATACCCTACATACCATACATTCAGTATATAGTGGAAAAAGAAAAAAAGTTTAAAATTGACACTGAAGTCAGTGTCGTATGATATAAAAGTAAAAAATGTAGGGTTTCAAAAAATCAAAATAAAACCCTACACGATCCGCGCAAACCCTACACTAGATCTTCACGCGGTCTTTACTGGGTCTGCACTAAACCTGCACTTAGTAAACCCTCGGTCTTCACTGATGACTGCATCGCGTCTTCACGAAGATCTCATTATTCGAAATCTGGATATCACAAGAGAAGGAGGGAGATCTTCTTAGCGTAGAATTACAAAACGCGCTTACGAGTTCTGCACCATACACACAAGCCACAGTTTACTCTTAATAGACAGAAGGGTGTCAAAAGTAGGTCGATAGACCATACAATGGTTGCTGATCGTGGGCGTTGCCTGCGCTGGTGGAACCCAATGAGCCAGCAAACCCTCTGAGTCCTACGCCTGCTGCGGTTGGCCGGCAGTTTGACTACTCCAGAAAGCTTGGGGCACGGCGCGGTAAGTTGGCGCATGTGTCGCGATGCAAGATGTGGCTGGGGTAATTGTAAGGAGAACTCTGATGTCTGTTCAAATCTTCCCAGAAATTTTTGAGAATCTGCATTTTCCCCTGAACAAAACTCGGTATTGACAATGCATTCCGTTCTGCAGATCTGGGGGGCACTAATGTAACAGATAGCTCGATTGGAGAGGAGTTTGTTCAAGCAGTCTATCTTGCAATCAATCGAAGCCTGCACATGCCAGCAGGTACGATGAAAGCTTTCATTCTCATGTTCCAAAAGGATAGCTTGAGAGCTCCAGCCTATTTTTATGACCTCACGCTGGTGGTCTGAAAGTTGAAGCCCGAAGTTCTGAGGAAAGGATGTACAGCACAACTAACGACGCCGTTGTTGCTTCTATCCAGGGTTTCGTGGAGTTCTGGATCAAGCAGTGGCAAACTCTGTCAATGAAGCCTTGGCGGATCCTGACACTGGTCTGGCAGCAGTTGTGAACAATGCCATGGCTCCAATTCTACAGAACATCGAGCGCCAGCAGGCAAAGAGCCACAATCATCAATCGATTGGACGTCGGACAGGATCCCTCCTTTCAGTGTCTGATCCAGCGGGCAACATGCCTGCACCTGGTCAATTCCCAAGGAGTGTTGATGAGCTGAGTCATCTGCGGAACGGGGCTGCGGGGGTGCGACTTGCGAATCATGTTCGGCTGGCATACCTGCTCAATTTCTATGGGGTCAGTGACGAGCTGTCAGGAGCAGTGTACGCCTCACCACCAGGTGCCTTACCAGCAGGTGCTGCAGGGAATGCAGAACTCGAGCGGATGCAACGAGCTCTGGAGAATTACCTGAGTGAGATATAGGTGAGTCGCTTATTTTGTTGTCCATGCAGTTTGAAACTTCAGTTGTAGAATCTGATATTGAAATCGAGCCTGGTCAAGTGGCCAAAATGTGCTTGGACCAGGCTTGCAGACAAGCTTTTTGGTAAGTTGTTAGCACTTAAAGAGAACGCAACAGAATACAGTATAATACAACACAATGGTTTTGAATTATGCCAATGGGAAGATCTACAAGCTTGTTTCTGACCATGACGAGCAGTTCTATGTTGGCTCCACCATTCAGAAACTCTGTCAGAGAAAAACTCAGCATGTTTGCAAGTCAAACAACCCCAAGGAGATGGGCAGACTAGTATATCAGCACTTTAATGCGATTGGCTGGCAGAATGTGAGGATCATTCTAATCGAGACATATCCTTGTAATACTGTAGAAGAGTTGGTCAAGCGTGAAAGGTATTGGTATGAAAGTCTGAAGCCAACTCTGAATTCAAGGTTTCCTCAGATGGATAAGCAAGAGTATGCTGGAAGGTACCGTCAGGAAAACCGGGAGCTGTGCAATGAAAGGACAGTCCGGTCACAGCAGAAGGAGGTGGATTGTGAACATTGTTCTGTTGTGGTTAAAGCTGCCTATTTCTTCAAGCACATGGCGAAATTTCATCACGATTCAGCAACTGAGGCACAAAAAGAAAGGTATGCAAGAAACCTCGAAAGTAAGAAGAAGTACTATGCTGAGAATAAAGATCACCATTCTGAGGTTAGCAAACTTTACAGAGAAAGCACAAAAGAAAAAGTGTCTGCGAGAAACAAGTCCAAAGCAAAGTGTCTGCTTTGTAACAAAGAAATGAGAAAAAATAGCATTCATCGTCATGTTAAGACAGTGCACAAAGAAATATCTACAGTTCAGCAAGCTCTTGACTAAGCTGAGAAATCTTTTTTATACTCGCATCAATCTGTTCTCGAAGCTTTCTGATTTCAGCTAACCTTACATTCTTTTCTGCAGCTCGAGCTGCACGGGTGGCCTCGGTGTCAGGCTGATTGTACACAGCTTGCATAGCAACACTCGAGCCCATCTCCCAAGCGAGCTGTTCCCGCTCTCTCAACGACGGATTCTGAGCCAAGAAACTTGTAATTTTTAGGTGACGCAAACTGTTTAAAGAAAGGCTGCAGTGTAGGTTTCCTTTTAGAGTATCAGACAGCAGCTTAGAGAACGTTCCGCTTGTATAGGGCTCGGCGTTTGTGTTTTGAAATAACCAACGCCGTTTGTGTTCCGCTAGACTAGTTTTGATAATTTGATATAGGACTCCAGTAATTTTTGCAGTGTAGGTTCCCTTATCTTTGAAAGTTTTGAAATCAGAGATGCTATCGTGGGCACATTTGTTTCGAGTATCGAGCCACATCTTGTTGACATCACCCGCTCGGTCATATTCCGCCTTGCTTTTGAACACATCCATCTTGCAATAATCGCGCAAACGTCGTGGGGAGACTAGGCAAAAAAGTGCCACCAAAAGATGGTCTTTGCTCGCATATTGTTCTTTGCGCATCTTTGCCTCAAGATTGAGAATGTCTCGCCACACAATTCGTTTGCCGTTCAGCATGACTTCATCGACCTTATGCACGTTGTCTTTGTTAATTTCCTGAACGGCATTCGCTGATTCCATCATGAAATCAAAGAACTTCTGTTGCACCGCATCTGTCACCTGCAAAGTTGTATGTTTTAAAAGCGAGCAAAACGCTGTAGCATAACCAGTGCGTGAATTCATGTTCGTGTACCTGTTTCGTATATACTCAATCACCTTGTCTGGCTGATTTACAAGCTTCTGAATGTTCTTCTCGTTGAGACAGCGACTGATAAAATTGGTCTTGCGCACATAATCTGATTGCGTTTCGGGAGCTAAGTTGGCGTTTGCATCAATCTGACGAGTCGTATCTTCAATCGTCACAACCTTCTCCTTTTCTTTCCCCTTACCTTTGGCTGCCCGCCTCGGTTTGGATGGAGGTGCTGGCTGAGGGGCAGGTGCGGCTGCTTTGCTTCTGGTCTGAACCGCCGCCGCGGACGTCGAAGGTTCTGAAACGTCTTCTAAACTGATTACCTTGCCTGCATTCTTACTCGCACGTTTCGGTGGCATGCTTCGTCTTTACTATATGGAAGATATATAAACTTCTGGTTTGATTCCCGCGTAGATTATCTCAAGTAAAACTAAATGTCGAACGAAATACGTTCTATGGAAGAATACAAAGCGATGCATGCTTTGTGTACTAAATTCTTGTATCAAAACATGTCTGACGAGAAGCGCGAGGAGATGCGTGTAAAACAACGTCGATCTTAGAAATCGCGAGAGATACCACACTGACCCAGAGTACAGAGAAAAGGTCAGAATCTACATGAGGGGGTATAACGAGAGGAAGAAAGCCGCACGGATGGCGGCGGCACAATCAGAGGTTTGAAAGATTATCTGCCGAAAGTTTTTAATTTTGCAAAAAAAATAAAACCTCTTAAGGAAATAATTCCTAATATATGTAGTAAGAATGGACATCGACGCACTGACCGCCAGTATAAAAGAATTTGCGTTGACCCAAATCGCTCAGCATATGGAAAAAATCGAACAGAATATGGTCGTCCCTATCACACGGCAATCCAAAAAATACAAGGAAGACACTGAATACGCTGATAAGGTTCGGACGGCCGCTCGCGAGCGTTTTCATCGACTCAGCAAGGAAGAGCGAGACCATATCAATAAGCGGAGCAACGAACGATATAAGACAGACCCAGAATACCGAGAGAAAAAGAAGCAAAAGGCCAAAGAGAGGTCTGCAAAGCTCCGTGAAGACCGCAGGGCAGCAAGAGCGGCGGCCGCAATTGAAAAGAAATAAATTTTTAATTTGCAAAAAAGAAAA